GAGAAGGAACAGAAAGTCCGTGTGGCTCGGAGCTGGGACCAAGTGCAGGGGCAGCGCTCTGCTGGCGCCCGTAGATGTTAACAGTCGCTTTGCCATGAGTAATTCCCAAGCAATTCCCTTTTCAATAAATGCATCCCAACCCCCAAACTCTCATTTATACAAGATCAAGTAGCAAAAATAATCAATTCCATAAACAGTTCCAATACCAATGTCTTTTGCCATATATTAATACTGTTTCCTTCATAATTATGCAAAGCACCTCCCCCAACACACACACAAAAAAAAAAAAGCCAAATGATCCATCTTGGCATTCTGGTGCTTTGTAAATCCCACTGGGAGAAACATCTGTATTTTTGGTTACCTAAACACGCGTATTTTAACCGTCCCGCGTGCCCGGTCAGCTGGCCGGTGCCCCTCGGTAGCTGTCCCTGGCCCGCGTGCAGCGCACGAGCAATCCTCAGGAAGCTGCAAGGTGCCCGGGCGCTGCGCGAGGGCACGCGGAACCTGGCGTGTGAGCGGTGAGGTTCCATACATTGTGCAAGGAGGCTGAGTAATGAATTCCGAGAAGCGATGTCACTCACAGCTTCTGAAGCCCAAATGCTAATTATGGCTGTAAGGAGCATGAGTGGATCAAGGTTTTCCTTGTATGACTATTTGTAGGTAATTAACATGAAGTCATGTGGGGAAGCCCCCCTTTATGTACAGTATGTGCTGGAGAGAAGGTTCACGTTGCGAGCTGGGTTACTACATGTTCCTAAGAGGAAACATTGATCGGGGAAATATTTATTAGCATTTTTTCTTTTTATCTATATATGTATGGATGTATGCCCTTTGGGCTCTTGTGTGATTTAATTTCTGACTGCAATCACTTGATAAACTGTAAAGCTCTTTCACCATCTCCTGCATTCCAATCGCTATTTTGAATAAAAGCTATCACTGCCCGCAGCCCATCTTCCAGACTAGCCAAATGTTTGAGGAAACCATGACCCTTCCTGCCCACTCCGCGCTCCGGCAGCTGCCACCGCCCGCCACAAATTCCTGCTCTTCCCCTTAAAATTTATCTGGGTCCCTGCATAACCTTCACGAGCAGAGTCCTTGCAATAACCACAACATGCAAAGGTTCGCAAGTGTTGAAACTGATTCCATGGAAATTTCCTGCATGACGGGATATCACGTGATATTCATGGAAAATCCACTTAATGGCTGGAGGTCTATAACATGAGTTTTTGTTTGTGCTCCCCATGAAGAGCCTATCAAAGTGTGGTGAAAGTCAATAATTTGGATGAGTTTTAGAGAAAAAAGGTCACTCTTCTGGCCGCTTTGTAGGAAAATGTCATCTTGGCCACAGCTGCTAAGAGGAGCAGCCCAAGATCCAGTAGCATGATTAACCTATATTCCTGCATTGCAAACAAGGAGGCAAACAAGCAGGACAGCTCAACCAGGAATGCAAATTGCATCACCTTCCAACCCGTGTGGTGTCTGTCTGATGGAACGGAGCACCATTTAAAGGCCCTTACAATCAAAATTCCCAAATGTAAGTCACCTTTTCAAGCATTTATTCCCTCTGTTACTTTAGAAAATCCACTCTATTTTTAGTCCATCTTCGAAAAATAGTAGCGATATGTACTCATTTACCTCATAGTCTTGTTTATAAAGATGTTTAAGTTGTACACAATTTACCAATATAAAATCCTGGTATTGTATTTCTTTCATTTTCTTTTTTTGTTAGGCAAAAAATTCTCTACTATGACATTGTAATGGTCCTTTTATACATATTTTTTAAAAATATATTTATTTAAGAACTTTTATCAAAAGCATTTTTGCTATTTATCCCCCTGCGACTTCTATGTTGTGTTTTGAGGTTGGAGGAAGAGAGGGAATGATGGAATCTTATTTTGTTGGTACCAAGTCACACTGATGGCCCTGCTGAAGCCTCTGTCTCAACTTGTGACCATGTTGTCACACTGTTGCTTTCCCTAAGACATGCCAGGTGTACTCATTTTCTAGCCAAATGTTGTAGGATGACACCAATTTATCTTCATGATTGGTAATTCACCTGGCTGTGTGGTGGTAGAACAAAACAGATGGTTCAGTTGCATTATTCTATAAGCCTAGAGAAAATAATTTAATATATACTCCCAAATAAAAAATTGCTACTTGAAGGATAGCATGTTGTGTTTCTCACGAAGGCTGCAAATGAGGAAATGGTATCTGTTTGCCTTGCCTAAGATCTGCCTGTGAACTATTACCAAAACAGTTCAATGCTGCTCTGCCTGGGCTTCCCAAGTGTGAAATTAAGGCCCTGTTTTCTTTTGCTCACCTTTTGTCTTGTCTATTAAACAGTAACTCCTTCAGGGGCAGAATTGACTGTTATTATAGGCATGCTCCCAACTTAGCACCCAAGTGCTAGTGGCTGTTATAAGGAAACAACACTAAAAAGAGTTTGTGGTTTGTTTGTTTGTTTTTCTTTCCTTAATAGTCACTGAAGAATAAGCAAATTGATGATTAGCTTACACTAAGCTATTATTTACCCAAATAGGCTGGAAGCTGAGAGGGTATGTCAAGGCAACTAAAAATACACACTGCTTTATCTAGTATAACAGAAAAACAAAAAACTCTGATCACCTGTAGAGTAGCTGCTTATCACTGTACAAAATAAACAGATAATTTGCACTCTTTCATATGAGCAAGATTCTGACAGCATCTTAGGGGCCAGAATTGTGTGAGTTTTCACGATCAGAGCTCTTTGGTGTAGAGTTTCTTATGGGTCATCGTGAAGAAAAAAAAATCCTGAATTGTCTCTTAAAGGCCATGGTAATGCAACAGCCTTAGTGGACGCATATGAGAGACTCCATTGCTGATCATCTTCCTTGCCTTATCTATCACTCAGGTCAGTGTATCCTAGGGAAGTTTGTGTTTTTTGGGAATGCTATGTTTGCTATAAACACCAACTAGAATCTCTCAGCACTAAACCAATGATACTCACAGGTGACTATTTTGTAAGTGATGATATGTTATTCGGGGTAGTTAACAAAGGCTTAGCTGTAAGGAATTTAAGAAGGACCTTATGAGATTAAGCAACTGTGCAATGAAGTGGTAAATGAAAATCAATGTTGATAAACAAAGTAATGTATATTAGAAAAAGCAGTTTTAATGTCCTATGTAAATGGCTCTGTGTTCAGCACTACAATTCCTGAGCAAGATCTGTGTTATGGTAGAGAAGCCCACAAAAATGCCGCTAAATGCGCAACAGCATTTAGGAAGCATGTAGACAGAATAATTAAGGAAGGAATGGAAAACGGGTCCAAAAAAAGCACCCTGCTATTATGGAACTGTATAAACCTACTGCTCACCCCTATCTTGTGTCCTGTGCAAAGATCCCCTCCATAAAATTGGAAACAGCTCAGAGAGGAGCAATAAAGATGATCAGAAATGTGGAACAGCTTTCATGAGAGTAATAATTGAGTAGGCTGTCACTTTTCAGACTTGAAAATAAATGACTCAGAGGGATATGATGGAGGTCTAAAAATCACACACAGGGTAACAAAGGTGGGTGAGAATCAACTGCTCACTGACCCCTGCAGCACAAGATGTAGGGCACAATAAATAAAGCATGTGCAAGCAATATACAGAACGAATAGATGCTTGATGCAACAGGCTACAGGTCTGTGCAAGGTCTAGGTCCACTTCATTGCCAAGGAAGCTGCATGTGCTTAGATAGGTCTGAAGAGTGAACGTAGAAAAGAAATGCAATAAGGATTACTACGCACTAAAAATCATGTCCAGCTCAGGAAGTTCTCTGAAGTGGAAACTATAGGAAGTTCAAAGCACTTTATCCTTTAATACACAATTCGCCTGTTTTCGCTCTGCTTTAGCCATTCGTGTATGAGACAGGCTTTTGGACTGCATGGACCTTTGGTATGACCTGGTATGGTTGTGTTATTACAGCCTTCCATACAAGACACCCAGTTGTTCATTTGCTGTCCCAAATCTCTTGACCTGTTAAATCTTCCTCTGATGTCCTTCCACTGAAGTGGCAAAAGATATGGAACTCATTGGAGGTCATTCCTGGCCACATTTTTCATAGGATTTCTCACAATCTTTCTGCAATTGCATGTTGTGGTTCTGCTCCAAACATAAAGTAGCCATTTTCACTACAGTATTTTAGGAAGGGATTTGATTAACAGCTTTTTGAAGGTTCAGTAATGTTATTGAGGAAGCCACTTTTAGCTGCTCTTTTTTGACAACAGAGAAGGTTAAGCAGGATTGCAAGTTTGCCGTTTCTCTTGCAGGGTGCTCTCCTTGTGTGTCTCTGTCGTACAGTGCTCTGTGTTGTATTACTCAAACCCTCATCAGAGTAATTTCATTTATAATAGTGGGAATATGAAAAGCACAGGTGTACAATTACTAGAATCACCTGTGGTTTTCTTTCCTTCGAGGTTAAGAATCACTGCGGGGAGCTATTTTCCTACATTGAAGAGCAATGACTTTTCAACAATGATTGCCTGCAGTACTACTGATAAATGCTATCTTGTCTCAGCAACTTACTGCCTTAAAAGAGTCTATATAAATCTGTATATTCCTTTTAGTGATGTCAGTCTCGCATTAGTATTTCCACCCAGGAAGTTGAGGGGCTGGATGACATCACAAGTGCAGAGATGGTTCTGCAGACATGGAACTCCTTCATACCTCACGCTAAGACAAGAGTGGTGCTGAGAGAACTGATACCTCACGCTAAGGTTAAGAGCGGTGCTGCAAGTACTGATACCTCACAGCAAGGTAATAGTGGTGCTGAGAGCTGATACCTCATGTTAAGGTAGGAATGGTGCTGTGAGAGCCGGTACCTCACGTTAAGGCAAGAGTGGTGCTGACAGCTGATACCTCACGCTAAGGTTAAGCATGGTGCAGCACTCTAAGCACTTGCAGCACTGTAAGCACAGATATCCCACAGCAAGGTAATAGTGTTGCTCAGAGAGCCGGTACCTCACGTTAAGGTAAGAATGGTGCTGACAGAGATGGTACCTCACGTTAAGGTAAGAGTGGTGCTGAGAGCTGATACCTCATGCTAAGGTAAGAGTGGTGCTGAGAGAGCCGATACTTCATGTTAAGGTAAGAGTGATGCTGACAGCTGATACCTCACGTTAAGGTAGGAGTGGTGCTGAGAGAGCCGATACTTCATGTTAAGTTAAGAGTGGTGCTGAGAGCTGATACCTCACGTTAAGGTAGGAGTGGTGCTGAGAGAGCCGATACCTCACATTAAGGAAAGAGCGGTGCTGACAACTGATACCTCACACTAAGGTAGGAATGGTGCTGCAAGTATTGATACCTCACGCTAAGATTAAGCATGCTGCTGCAAGTACTGATACCTCATGTTAAGGTAAGAGTGGTGCTGAGAGAGCCGATACTTCATGTTAAGGTAAGAGTGGTGCTGAGAGCTGATAGCTCACACTAAGGTTAAGAATGGTGCTGCAAGTACTGATACCTCACACTAAGGTTAAGAGCGGTGCTGCAAGTACTGATACCTCAGAGAAAGGTAAGAGTGGTGCCGAGAGAGCCGATACTTCATGTTAAGGTAAGAGTGGTGCTGAGAGCTGGTACCTCACATTAAGGTAAGAGTTGTGCTGAGAACTGATACCTCACGCTAAGGTAGGAATGGTGCTGCAAGTACTGATACCTCGCAGCAAGGTAAGAGTGGTACTGAGGGAGCCGATTCCTCACGTTAAGGTAAGAGTGGTGCTGAGAGCTGATACCTCACGCTAAGGTAGGAATGGTTGGGAGAGCTGAACTCTCGCGACAAGGTAAGCGAGAGGGGCCAACGTGCTACGAGTGCCTCTGCTCCTGGACGCCCTGCTCCTGGGGCGGGCGAGGGGCCGGGCTCCCA